TGTTTCAAGTTTCTACTTCGAAGAGATTGTCCAGCATTCACTTCCATATTGGGAACAGATACCACATAACAGTTCACTACTCTTTTCTTTGTCTCTAAGTTTTCCTGTTTCTTAGTACGTTGCTTAACTTTTGGAAATTTCAGTAGCATGCTTTCTGTCACGGTGGAGTAATGGATAGCGGCTCGGATTAAGGAATCGGAGAGCCGAGTTCGAATTCCAGTCAAATCCATTACATTCACTTACTTGGGAAAGGTATGAATCCTCTTCAAAAGGCTATGAGTAAATAGCAGGACAGGCTGGGTTCTATAATCTTGGATGGCAACTGGTCTACCGCAGAAAGAAATGGTAAACTACTGCGGGGAAAAATCTGCCTCGTCAGTCATGTATCGAAATATACATGATCGCCTAAGCGTGTATCACGCATGATACATAACTGACTAACTTTTTGTCCTCTGTTAAATCACTTCGGAGATATTTAAATTTTTTCACTTGTATGAGTTTACCAAAAATAAGCCTTCGATTTTATCCGGCAATTTTATATTCTGAATTTCTCATAGGTTTAAATGTCCATGCCAGCGATGTTAAAAGTGAAATTCAGGGATGTTGTCAGCATTGGCAAATACCTTTTATCATCATAAAAAAAGTGTTGCTGCAACAAGTTCAAATGAAAATAAATGAGGACTAAGAAGAGTATGTTGCGTTTTTTTTTATCATTTCACTCTAAGCAAGGTGATAAAAGCCATTAGAAATAAAGGGGTTACTGAGTGCGAAAGAAAATGTTATTTAGGAGAGGGGCAATAAAAAGATAGAAATTAAAGAGAAAGATGACGATTGACGCTGCATTTCAATTTTTGAAGATCATAGTTGACAGGAAAGCAAAACACCGGAAAAGAGTTCCACAAGCGAGAAATGCGAAAGAAGAAACCATTAGCTTAGAATTTGCGGTTAGATTTAGCAGTTTCAAGAGTGACATTATGAGACCTAGCTGCCAATCTAGTACTGTGTTTAAATTCGTGAAATTGAGGTACCAAAGAGGAAAATTCATCAGAACTCTCACCATCAGGATCTGCCTGTCTTGGAACTCTATATTTTATTTCAACAGTGCTCAAAGAAGGAAATATGCAAATGTCGAAATGACTAAGCTGATCGCGAAAATAATTTAGTTCAATGTTAGATTAGAATGTGATATAACAAATAGGAAATAAAACAAAAGATAATAACGTAACTAAATTCTAATTGAACTCGTAGCAAACATGAGCACGCTCACTCATATATAATCTCTGCGTTAATGTTTTCTCGAGGTAATCACGTGTAAGCGTTGTTGTTTCATGGTTAAAGAGAGCAATGAAGGTAACATGGTTGTATTCATTCATTTTTATTTTTACGAGTACTTTCGATATAATTTAATTTCATCTTCAGGGTTAGGATGGCTAAGATAAATAGTTGTTTTTGTCCGAAGTAAATTTTTGCTTTTGGGTTCCGGTCATGCGCAAAGTCACAAAAGGTGATTTTATTTTATTTATTTATTTTTTTTTTACATGTAAATGTTTTAATGTAAAGTATGTAGCTTAGTTAAGAATTGAATTATTATTAGGTTTTAAAACTGTATTACTTTGCTGATTGATTCAGCACACCTCGTTTCCAGGGATCCGAACACGAACATTTTTGTAATTGTTCAGTCCAGTCGTCAGAAGGTTTCAACAACGGACTTTCATTTTCCTCATTTATCTTTAAATTTATACTAATCTATCTATCTATCTATCTATCTCTCTCTCTCTCTATATATATATATATATATATATATATATATATATATATATATATATATATATATATATATTTAAAAAAAAAACAGACCACTTTAAAGGTACCATTATAATAATTTATTTCACAGAGTCCTTAAAAGGACGCCGGTGAAATAAATTACTTATAATGGATGATCGGCGTCCTTTAAAGTGGTCTGTTTTTTTTTTAAATATTAGCTCTGGATTTACATTGAGCTCTCAGGATTTTCATCCTCCTTGGGATTAACCATACGGAATCCCAAGTTCTTCATAACTTATATATATATATATATATATATATATATATATATATATGCATGCGTGTGTGTAGGGGGGAATTTCAAATAAAGTCGGTGAACGGACAAAAAATGAAAATTCAAAAACATCACTTATTATTTTCGTTTATTAGACAATGAATTGTCTTACATCGTGTCTTCCATAGCTTGCCGGACCTTTCAGTTAAACTGATGAAAATTTAGTAGCGTTCATAAACTTACAAAATTTTAAAAAAAACTTTAACATATTTGCTCTTGTATATAAATACTTGTTACAATTAAAAACATTGCATATGCATTGCTAAAGTCCCTCAAGGAACGAAACGCGTCGGATAAAAAAGTTTTCCTTTCGTCTTTATTCATATATATATATATATATATATATATATATATATATATATATATATAGGGGAGAGAGAGAGAGATTTAATAGACCCGTTAATGAAGTTTGAGGAATAAAAAGACAACAAAGTGATAACAATATTGGTAATAAGATTCATGATATTTATTATATATTAGACTTTACACTAAATTGAATCATGAAGACAAAGATTTTAAAGTCGGAATTCGTTTAATCATAAATGCATATATATATATATATATATGTGTGTGTGTGTGTGTGTGTGTGTGTGTGTGTGTGTGTGTGTGTGTGTGTGTGTGTGTGTGTGTGTGTGATGTCAAATCAGTCGGGTTTCGATCTAGCCACACTGAGGAGCTGTGATACAGCAAAACTGTCTGTGGATGACTACATATATATATATATATATATATATATATATATATATATATATATATATATATATATATATATATATATATATAATTGTGTATTTGGGCAGTAATCCTCTTTATGCAAATTTCATTAAAACGACTAACAAGGTATTCGGTGAAATTTTTATTTAAGTTTTCTTATAATTTTCTTCTTTTCGGGATATAAATTATGTATATATATATATATATATATATATATATATATATATATATATATATATATATATGCAATTTTTATATATATTATTTATATATTATATATGCGCGGTGCTTATTGGAATGCGTTCAATATCAATGATTGGGCTAACATATTTACATATGTGTGTGTGTGCGTGTGTGTGGTATCTGTTATAGTTACTGTTGCTGCTGTCGTTCGGCCTCAAGTAATGTGGTTTCTGTTATTTCGTACATATCTTTGTGATTCAATGCCCGTGACCGTTCCTTCCACTGAACCAGAGTATATCAATTTTCCAGCACTAGCAAATCAGGGATTGAACTCACGACCGTTAAGCTCTAACAACTTCCTACGAGATGAACACTTCAGGAACCTCTGACTGACAAAGAAAGTGCATCACTGGAAAATAATCTAACAAGGTGGATCAAATTATTTTTAATCTGATACACCTGTGTAGATTATTTTCATTGAACTCACTACTGCGAGGGAAAGGGAACCAGATATTTTAGCCAACGCTTTAATACCCTAGGCCGCGTATCTTTTTAGACAGTTGTTACGAATTCGCACATATATATAGATAGGAATCCCAGGTTCAAAAAATGATGCGTTCGCACAAATAGGAACACACGGAAAGGTACCGACGAACACCAAACACAAGATTAACATTTATAAATACATTTTATATAACAAAATACAAAATATGAAAAAAGTATGGAACGACAGACGTACAATTAATAAAAAACCGCTTAGCTAAAATTGGATGTCAGTTCAAACGTTTGTGTTTCAGGAATTTGGAGTTTTAATGTTAATAATGACAGACAGATAATGTTGCAGTAGATTGTTCACAAATTTTGGTTGTTCTTTCTTCCGCAATGTAAAATGTGGAATTCGGGAATAATATTTGTGTTCTCTTTCCCCTTGGTTATTTTGATTGCCACCGAGATGAAAATAAGATGTATTCTTTCTATTTATTTGGGTACGATATTCATTCACCCATTAAAAAGTCAAATACATCCATAATCTCCGGGATGAAAATTCCTTATTCCTTACACAAGTAATGGAAAAGGTTTGCGGGTGTATTTCTCATCCCTTACGACCGCATGACGAGAGTCTATTTTTCTTGCGAACTCTTGTCGTCGGAGGTCATCAGGAAATAAAATTACAATACGAAAATCCCACTTGGTGATGTAAGCCACATGAGCGTTGGTAACCGATTCTCACTCACTTCCTGAGGAGGTCATTCTGTTTGTTGCCAAGCAACCCCCAATTCCTTTCCTGTCCGCTGTTAGCCGAAACACGATTCAACCAGGTAGGTAGTAAATCAAACAATAAAAAAGGAGGAAAAGAAGTAACACAAAGACAGCGCGTCTCTTATGAAATTTATTGTACATCTGATTTAAGAATTAACATTGAGGGCCATGTCACACCTCCCCACCTAAAAAAAAAAAATGGTTATTTTTCTTAAGACAGGAATTATACTAGATACGGGATAAGGCGTCAGCGCACACATTGTCAACACTTTCAATGATTCAAAATGCAGACGTGGACCTATGGACCATTAAAATAGGACCAAACTTTCCCCTTGCATAGTAGTGTTTATCATATCGATATGATACATTTGAGTTGAGTGGGCAAGAAACAAACGTTCTGTTATCTCCTGGCCAGGTAAGGGTGCTATCTTGTACATTAATGCAGCAGCTTCTGTACGGAATTCATCAGCATTGCTGGGACCAGCAAGGTCCAATAACACCTGTACCACCTGGTCTCCAACTCTTTCAACTAATTCCTGCTCCAGAAATACAACTAGGGCAGTATGATTTGTCTTCTTAACCTTATTAGCATTGTCCCTGAGGTATTTCAAAAGAGGAAAAAATGTAAGTGGTGACAGCATTTGGAATGAAGTTCCTGTTCTCTTGACAGTACCATTACCCATGAGGAACTTGTTATACCAGATCAGAGCGAACGGTTGGTTCAACATCCCTTGGCAGGCGTACCATGGCCCGTAGGAAAACAGTACAGTCCAGTTCAACGCTGCCAGCTGCACGTAGATTTTCTAGAATTCATCTTGCTATCAACTGCTGGCTGAATGCATTGTCGCTATCCATACATTTTTCGAGCTTCTGAAGTGCCGTAAGGTTGTCATCCGAAAAGAAAGATTTGCCACAATTTCCAACTTCCACTCCATATCCTAAAGATAAATTGTCTTCCGGAATATCTTCCGATTCCTCCTGATAAAAAATAATGTCCGCGATGTTGTAGGAAACCACTGCCCAGTCTTCCGAAGCTGCGATATGTGGAGGTCTCCACTTCCTCATCAACACATTGTTTTCAAAAAAATATCCTGCTGGAACTATACCCAACTTGTCTTCTGGCAATACGTGATTAAAGGTAGAGTAATTTTGGGATCTTTCCCTTGTTCTATCTCGACTTATTTCCTTGATAGGGAAACTGTTGAAACTTGACTAATGCATGGAATAATAATACAACACAAAATGTACTTAGAACAAAATGTATTAAAACAAGAAAGTGTACACAATATTTACATATAGTCTTTTGTATATTCTTGGGAAGACAGTTCCTGGAGAATGTGTTGACTTAGTCGCAGTCGGGCAGAGTCTCTGGGTTGAATTTCTTGATTCCTTCCCCCGTCTTCCCGGTACCAACCATATTTATATGGTCGGTACTCCACTATGCAAATTAGGTGGATCCTACCACAACAGAAACATCCCTAGTGAGATCTACATTACCAATGCTATTCTTTTTCTTGAGACTATCAGAGTGACATTTAAAATCTATGTTGTGATTTTAAAAGGATTTAAGACAGGTTGTCCCACGAAATTTGTCTTTATCTTTTCCCTTGGCTTTTGCCCGAGTCACGACATATGTAAGTAATATCCTAGGTTTATATTCTTTCCTTTTCTCAGTTTCTATCGAAAGTGACGGTTCTAGTTTGGGATGGATAGTTACCTTCCCACCAGATAGCTCCTTCCATAGCAACATAGATACGCATTTCATAGCCAGACTAGGAACGACACCAACACCAATAGGCTAAGTTTGACCTCAAATGAATTCGATGTAGAGGGACACTGACAAACGCATTAATGACACCCTGTATAACAACAAATTCACCCGTGACACCCTGTATAACAACAAATTCGACCCACATGGCAGAGAACTCTTCAACATTAGGGATTGTGTAGCTCCTGTATCTCGTAAAATTTTGATGGGTATCTTTCTAGTGGTAATGCCAACAAGCGGAACAGATCCATCCGACACAAATGGCCTGGATTCCACCCTCACATCTACAACAGATATTCTACCCGACACACCTCGGTTGGAAAAAATTAACCTATGGGGTTTCTTTTGGCTTAATACCTCGAACTGCTTGCTTTGTTTGGTTCAACAATTTAACGCAATGTGCGCGACTTTGTGAGTTTCCGACTCTCATTTGTTTACTTGCCGAGATCCTGATGATTGGGAAATATATCCTTTCGGACTTGTACCACTTCAGTTCGTACTTGCACTTATATACGAGGTAAACTAGCGATTAGGACCGCATGATTGGTCCTACTGAAAACTTGAACCAGAACTAGCCCCGGTTTTTAGACCAGGAACACTTCTAGGTCTGAAGGAACCGCTGTATTTTGATGTGTTGTGTTTATGCGTTGACGCATATTCGTCCTCAAGAGTGGCCATTTCCTATACAATATCTATTTTTATTTCCTCAAGATATATTTTTATTATTTTCAGGAACACATTCTTTAAACTCTTGTATTAGAATCAGTTACCTTAGTCTAACACAGTCATCTTAGATATTTTTCGACTGGCTCCACCTGTCAAAATAAGTTTCCTTTTCTTTCAATCGAAAACTCGACGTCAAGTTTGTCCGTCTGTTTTCCGTAACTTCTTAAATCTTTGACGGTAATCTTCAGGCACTAATTCATGCTTTAAGGATAGCTGACTTCACAGTATTATAATCAGCACAGTTTTCTACTGACAGGGCAGCATATGCTCTTTGGGATTTACCTTCTAGCACAGTCTGTAGTAACATGGGCCATTTGGTCATAGGCCTTTGCAAATTCAAAGCAACTTTTTTGAAATGCGAAAAATATCCATCTACTTCCACTTCATTAACGTTCGGCACTATCCTAACCTGCTTTGATAGGTCAAATTCGTTTCGTCTAGCTTCACTGCTAAATTGTTTTGCTTCTATTTCCAGTCGCGTGTCTCCTGCTCAATTCTAACTCTTTTTATTTCAGCTTCATTTCGCACTTTTTCTCTTTCATCTTCGATTCTCACATTTCCCTCTCAGTCTCAATTGTAAGTTTCTCAAGTTCAGTTTGAACTTGAGATGACTCCTCTATTTCTACTGTAGTTGATCTAACGTGCCTTCATCGAAGATATCGTTATCTACCATATGCTATGTAATCACCCTAACTAGTTGTGATTTATTTCCTGTTTAGGAATGGGTTTCCGGTTCCTTCTAAAGGTTTCTTCAACTCTATACTTTTAACGTCTCCACCTAAATACTGAAGTTTTATTTACTATTTATTTATATTTTTCCTCTATAGGAGTAGATAGGTTCGTCTATCGCCCGGTTTACATCCTCCGCGGTTTTTTGAACAGGAGTAGAGGTTTTTCTCTTATTTCCTGTTTAGGATTGAGTTTCCAGCTCCATCTAAAGTCTTTTTCCAGAAATACCGATGACACCATCTTAATGATTTAAGCATATATACAAGAAAGGCTGAAGAATGCATCGGTCGAAACATAGTGATAAAAGTCAACAAATAGTAATCGGTACAGTCTGCGGAATTATAATAATGACGCATAGTAGATAGGTTCGTCTGTCGTCCAGTTAACAACTCTCCCCGGTCTTTTGAACAGGAGTAGAGGTTTATTCCTCGATTTCTTGTTTAAGATTATGTTTCCGGTTTTCCTGTGAGCCTGGGAACGACAACAATTAAGAGGTGGTTCCATGCTCCCCAAAACCTTTCAATCAGAGGCCTTTCTGCCAGATGTAGTTTATCGTCATATCCAGGATGGAGCATTCCAAGTGCTCAACTAGTAAGTTAATAGAGTTAGATGGTGACTAACTTGCATGTGAATAATTTGGGCAAATGGTAGTTTTAAAAGGTTATTTCCCGTTGTAATTTGTTGGTGAAATAACTTATACATCCTTTGGGGTTTGTACAGCGAGTTTAGGGTTTTTAATTACGAGTTAATCCATCTGTCTACCTATCTGCTTGGTGCGTCGTGGTACATATGGTTCCGAAAGAAGGTCAACACTTTATCCTATCCGCAGCTGCGATTTTGCCTATATCCGTAAAAAACGACGACAGTATTTAAGTAATTTTGCAGTTACATTGACTAGATTTTCTGCGTAAGTAATCTAGGATTTTTATATATGCAGTTAACTATTGTTGCAAGATGAATGTTTTTAAATTATTAGAAGCGAAAATAGAGCGTTTCGACTTAGTGTAATGGTTAACAAGCTTGTCTCGCTAGAACGATTACAACTTACTAGTGAGCTCGAACCTCACTGAGTACTCCATACTTTCGGCTTTGTGACACATATCAGATACACTTAGAAAATCACCATTAAAAGCGAAAATATCCAAAATAAGCTGACACGAAGCCAATGAAATAAAAGACAGCGTATTAAAAATCTAAGCTTCCCAAATTACTAATGACATATACGGTTAATACTGTAAACAGATTTGCTTATTGGCTTCCTTTACCATAACAATGAAATATCTCATTACCAAACTGGAGAGATACGGCTTTGTAACCGATAAATATATAATGTCACGTGTTTCATATTATAGAATAGATTTTAATGAAATTCATTACGAATACCTATATAGGAGAAGTAATTTAAAACCGAAACAAACAAGTTAAATACTTGTAAAATCGGTTAGTTCAGAGAGTTTAAGCACTGCTTTTATTAAGAAAATGTACTTTCTATATTCTCCTACTGAAAATGTGCCAAATATAAGTAGAAAAAGGTGGAAGAACATATTTTCTTGGATGTCGTTAATTGCAAGTACGGCTCATAAAAGAACCGGTTTTTTAAGTTAGATATCTATTCACTTTGTGGAAGATGAACCGACTGAATGTAAGAAAATAAACGGAAAGTATTTGAGGTACATATGAACTAGCATTACCCACTAACATTACCACACGTTTTATTGAAGTAACGGAACCTCTGTTCTGATCTTATTTTTAACAAGTGACGAATGTAAAAGTCTCAAAATGAAGGTCGTTACGGTTAGTGAAATAATAGTAAATAGTCTTTTTCCCTAGTTTACCCTCTCTCTCTCTCTCTCTCTCTCTCTCTCTATCTATCTATCTCTATCTCTCTATCTTTCCCTTCTCTATCTCCCCACTTTCTGTCTCTTCTCTTCCTCTCCCCCTCTCTTATGCTGGTCTATCATTTTATACCCATCCTGTTAAAACTACCACGTTCTCTTTTTGCTATCGCATCGTATTTCCTCTCTTTTTTATCGGTATCATCCCAAACAAGGCAGTAAAGCCAATAAGACACTAAAGGTTACAGGGTGGGGAAAAAAATTGGAACAGAAACATTAATAATGAGCAGGAAGAGAAAATAGTAATAAGGAGATCAGTAGATAGAGATTGACATTGCATTTAAATTTTTGTAGATTAAAGTCGGCTGGAAAGCAAGGAGCCGGAAAGAAGTTTCCCAAGCGAGAAGTGCGAGAAAAGAAACTGTTTGCATATAATTTACGGCTACATCTAGCCAGCTTGACTGTAAATTGTCGAGATCTCGACGTCAGTCAAGTAACGCTTTCTTTTCCTCTTTTCATTTTTCTATATCTTCTTCTGTACTTATTCTGGTTCCTTTTCTTTTCTGTGCGTCTGATCAGAAAAATAAAAAAAGAATAAACAAACATCGCTATCAACTGTTGAGACGTATGAATGAAGCTTGGTTTCGTCATGGTAAAAACATAGATTTTATGAATTGAAAACTTGTAAGAACTCGTGTTGAGCTTAACAGAAGCTTTTTTGTTCTCCGTTTAAGAATATTCCCCTCGCTTTTACTTCTGTTATTTTTTTTGTTTGCGTTATTTTACTTTTCATTCTATCTATCTATCTATCTATCTATCTATCTATCTATCTATCTATCTATCTATCTATCTCGTCCTGGGTAAGATGCTAAACTGCATCCAACAGCAAGGCCTCTGTTCAGGGGGTTTTGAGGAGCGTCGAACCATCTGTTAATTGCTGGTGTCCCCAGGTCCACCCTGGCCCATCGTGGTAGCACCTGTTAGGGTCCCAGCTATGGACAAATAGTTAACCCCCCAACTCGTGTCAAAACACTGTGAAAGTGTAAAAATAGGTTTTAACACAAGCAATACATTTTTGGAAAAAATATTACCAGCAATAAAAATCTTGGCGGCATTAAATAACCCATTGAGGTTGATATGCCGTAAAACAACCCAAACCAAACCAAACTATCTATTTATCTCTCTCTCTATATATATATATATATATATATATATATATAAGTCTCTATCTGAACTGTTTTTATTGTAGTGTAAAAACATGCGGCCACAAAAGAGTGTGTATTAGTTATAAAGGCTGGAGAAAAGCGTACGTATGTATTTATTTGGTGTGCGGGTGACGTAATGGTTAGATTCTCGAAACGAGAAATCGGTAAACAGTACAAATTCAGCTCGAGATCTTTACACTCATTTCTCTCCATATCCATGTGTTAAATAACAGAGCAGACTGAACTCTCTGGTCCTAGTCGGTAGCCAATGTAGAAAGAGGACATCTATGAATTCAAAACCGTATATGGTGCTTGTGCGACACATTTTTGCACTGTAACAAGGTCCGCTTAGCATAGTTACCGTATAAACCTAAAAAGCTCTGTGGGCGTTGAAGAAACATAAACGGACATGATCAGATGGGCTTTATCAGAAATGATCAGCCATGCTGAAAATTAGAAATCACACTGTTTTGCAGTGTTCCTTCAAGTCGAAACAGCTCTGATAATGTAGCATTTATTATGTTTAGCTTAGTATGACAGAAAGCTACCAGTGTGATTTGTTTTTACGGTTTATCAACCCTTTGCTAGTTATTTAAATCCAGAATATATATTTAGGGTGCAAGATATTTTTTGAAATAACGATTTACTGATACAACTCCTATTAAATAAGCCCATAGCCGGGTAGAGAAGAAGTGAATTCATACCTATCCCAAGAGTATTTGCACTTAAGTGAAGATATTCACTAACCTCCCCTCGCGGGCAGATGTGGCACAAAGCCGAATTTAATGTGGGGTGAATATAACGAACCCGACTGAAATTGGTATTAGGCTTTCCGAATTCCAATTCCGATCTTTTATCCATTACACTAGCCGCACATCTAAACTTACAGCACCTGATATTTCCAAGCCGTCACCCATCTAGGTACTGACCAGGCTCTACGTTGCTTAACTTCGGTGATCGTACAAAAACCGGTGTTTCGTCGTGATATGTCTGTAAGCCACTCAGAGTGTTGGACACCTAATATGGATTGAACTCACTACAGTAGTAATTTTAACCTATAAATAATACCGGATTTTAAATTTTATTTAAAAAATGAACCCCTGATTTTATAGCGGGTATCAATAGATTAAAAATTCCTCGTTTCTCACATACTTTGTCTTTGATATTTTCAACATTCGTCGGTAGAACCAAATCTTTGTCGCTTCAAGTCTCTTCTTCATCTGTGAGGAAATTGTCCAGCATTCACTGCCATACTGGGCGCCCCATACTTACAGCCTTGTACTTAGTAAATAACAGCAGTTACTTATCACATGACGTCAGCACTCGCTATTTCGGTGTGCGTAAATATGCTAGGCTTCCCACTTACATCTCCATTTGTTTATTTTTTTCTTTTTGCTGTCCATCTTTCCTTCTTCTCCCACTCTCTCTACTTTACTTCTCTTATTTTCTTCTTTTTTTTTCTTTTCTTTTAATTTTTCTTCTTAATCTTTTTATTCTCCGCCTGTTCTTTATATGCTCCTTTTGTTTCTTCACTTCCGGTTCACACTTTTTTATCACTCTACTTCAATTCTGACCTCTCTTCCAAATATTTTTTATTCCTTCACGCCTTCATCTTTGCTTTCCTTTTTTTTTTCTTTCTTCCCATTGGCGCCATTTTATCTCGAGTGTCTTTTGCTTATCTCTTCTCCCAATCCTTTTCTTCTCTCTTCTCTATTTGACTTCCGCTCCTGTTCTTTTTTTATTTCTCGGTTTCTTTTCTTATTTCTTCCTTCTTGACCTAATTTCTCTCTCCTCATCATTCATATTCACTTTGGTTTTTCTCACCTTTTTTCACATTTTTCTCTTCCCCACTCCTCAGCATTTCGTTCTAACTTTCTCTATATCTCTTTCAATCCACAGCTTTCTTCTTCTTCTTCTTCTTCTTCTTCTTCTTCTTCTTCTTCTTCTTCTTCTTCTTCTTCTTCTTTTCTTTTCATATACGGAAATGCCTATTCAGCAATCTGTACAAATAACTTCACGTGAAATTCGCCTCATTCACAAGCAGAGGAAGAGGGGCCTCATTCACCACCCTTCTGCACCATTCAACAACCCTTTCCTCTTCCTCCTACACATTCAAAAATTCACCAAAATTATCGAGATTCCATGAGCAAAGGAACTCACGCGCTTATGCGTAAGCACACACACGCGCAAGCGCACGCGCGCACGCGCGCACACACATTTTCTAGCATTAATATATAAGTACTCTTATATATTCCGATATATCTGTATATCTATGTAGACTTTATTCATATATAAGCGCACTCAGATAGGCGCCTGTCAGGGAGGGATAGTTAGCAAGCTAATCTCGTAGACAATTTGCTAGGAAAGTAAATTCAATTATCATTTAGCATCCCCGCTGTTATGGCCTTGTAGCAGACTAAACTAAGAAAATATCTACACTTGCTTAAGCATTTATGAGCATAAGTGATAAACATTCTAAAATGACAAATGCTAAACTTATATATATATATATATATATATATATATATATATATATATATATATATATATACACACTCACACTGGGTAACAATAGTTAACAAAAACTCTATCAAACCACACAATTCAGTACTTGTTAGATTAACTTCTCTTCCTCTTCTCCAATAAGTGATGTAATGGATAAATCAGTCAGTTATGTGCCATACATGATACGCGCTTGGGCGATCATGTATCTTTCGATACATAACTGACAAGGCAGATTTTTCTCCGCAGTAGGTTGCCATTTCTTTCTATGGTAGACTGGTTGCCAATTGATGTTAAAGAAGTGTTTAGATTAACTCCCCTTTCTCTTCTCCAAGGCACAGCGTTTGACTGTGCATTAGAGAAGTGCGTTTGACCATTAACGTTCAATCAGTGAAATCTAATCTGTAAAAAGAACTGTTTCGGGGAGACGCCGTAAAGAGAAGATGCTTTCTTAACATGAGGATAAAGCACAGTTTCTTGCAACATGACTTGCTAGGCTTGTGAGCAAAGACATTATTTTTATATTCACTAACTTTCCCTTTCTGCATCAGAGAGAATGCATGTACCAGATTTTTACACTTTGTTAGCATGTTCCCTTTCTAACAAATAAAATCGTCGTTTGCGTTGTTCCGTATTCTCCCTGGCCGTCTTTATTTCAAATGTTTGGGTAAGTATTTGTTTTTGACAGCCAGATATTACTGAGGCTGCGAATAGTTTTTGGTAAAGCCAACAATTGTATCAGAATACGATAATGTTTGCCACTGAAATGAGTTAAATTCTGGGTGCCTATTAGATTCACTTACACACAAATACCCTTGGGGAAGGTATGAATCCATATCTTCTTCCCCCAGCTATGGGATGAATACTGCGCGAAAAAATCTGCCTCGTCAGTCATGTATCTTTCGATACATGATCGCCCAAGCGAGTATCACGTATGGCACTTAACTGACTGACTTATCCATTATATCCAAGCTTACAGCACCTGATATCCCCAAGCGATCACCCATCTAGGCACTGACCAGGTTCCATGTTGCTTGGAACCAGAAGATTTTGATATTTGTTATCCCTGGCTTATTTCTTGTGCAATTCCCCAACAACTTTTGATGGATTTTTCATAACATTTCTTAAAATTCGGTATCTAAGAAACAGCTTGGAAATCTTTCTCCTTTTGTTTTTTTTTTTTTTGTTTGTTTGTTTTTTTTCCATCTCGTTTTAGTGTTTCGTTCGGAGCGGATATCATTGATAGACCAAGAATTTTCTAAATTATTTGAAAGAATCTTAGCAGTATCGGAAGGGTTCTTGGAGTACCATTACCACAGAGTTTTGCTCCAAGTAAGAATACATTTTCAGAGAATCTTTTAGGAGTCACTTCTGCATTAAACTTTGAGAATCGCATCAGATTAAAAAATGTTTTTGTAGTTTTTGAAAACTAAGAAACGAGACTTAATTACAAAATCATTTAACTATTAATCATAGAATAACACATTTTAGATGCATATTTACAAGTCATATGTACATTATAATAATCTCAGCTTAAAATACCGAATTCGACAAGAAATGAGATTTTTTCACAATATTTTTGTCATTTTTGTACAGGGTGTAGTGCAATAACCCTATATGATTAAAACATTTCAGAAAGACTTCTCTATTAGAATTATAGTAAAACACCGAAATTCACAAGTGAGTTTATAGTTACTGGACACTGAGAAATGAGTTTGAATTACAAAATTGAAATCATTGGAATAACGTGGAAAAACAACACTTTATAAATCTATCTGCAGTTTAGCTACGTATATACACTGTAATTCGAGCAAATAAAAAATACCCAATTCAACAAGAAATCAATCTTTTTTTCAGTGATATTAGAATTTCTGCATGACGCGTATCGATTGACAGTAGAATTCCAATTGATGACATGTTAATCTGTCCTTCTGATACGATGTAACCCAGTACTACCCACTGCATCTTCGACTGAACTGGTCCTCCTACCAGTTCTGAAGAGTTGGATGGTTAGATACCCAGCAGCAAGATTAAAACAAGACAAGTCAAAGACCTTGTAGAGTCAATGGCCATCTAACACAATGATATGCAGTCAGCGCGGCGATGATATGCCATCACCGGGCGAAAAGGGTTTCTTAGACTGAAATTAACAGCCATGGCAGAGGGGTCCCTTGATGGAATAAACGGTTACGTTTTCGTAACCAAAGACGATCCCTTAAGTTTGACCTGGAGATGGATGGGCTACTTTCCCAAGACACGCATCAATAAGCTCCCGTCTTTCAACCTAGATATGTTGAGGGAACTGGTTAAGTGCTGACTGAGCTGCACTGCGACCTTACAACCACACTCGATCATAGAAACGACGATGACACCAATACCAGTATATTGTTGTAGACATAGCTAAGTGTTGGATAACAGGACTAAACGCCTGAGGTTTTAGGTCATGTACTGAAAAAAAAAACCCTGTGTTTTCAAATCCCATCTTAGTCTAAACAAAGCAACAAATGTGGAACAGCCAATAAAAATCAAACACACTATGGTCATTTAAACTTACTCGAGTTATTACAAGAGCGTAATGAGTTTAATCGGGAAGAAAGCTGCAAATGCACAACACTCAGTAAGGATCGAACTAATTATAATGAGAATATTGTCCGCTTGGGACAGGATGGTCGCCGGTCCTGAAATGTTAACAATAATCAAGCATCAAATACACATTGTTCAAATATAAAATCTGTTAAATTTTCACAACAGTCACGAACTAATCACCAGTCATGATAACTTGAGTAGTATCAAATATAATAAAAGAGAATTTGTTGTGGCGAAACTTCAACTTTTCAGAATATCGCAAGAAAACACTTATTTTGCGATCCATAGAATTGTTCGTTTTTTTTTTTTTTTGTTTTGTTTTTTTGGAAATCCCTCAGACAACTATTTTTGTAAAAGCGACTGGGAATGATAGGTAAAATAGAAGCCTACACCAAGTGTAGGAGGACTGCAAAAATTCCAAAAGACGGAAAGACTACGTCTGCTTCCGTGGATGAGAAGTCAAGAGAATAAAAGAGACAGGTTGACCAAATCAATTTTCTTATATAAATATATACCAGTTCATTTATTCATTTTTATTAACTACTATCAACACTATTTTAATCTGAAATTATATACATATACCACTCTGGAATTCATCAAAATAGAACTGACTGAATTTAGACTGTAAAATTTACGCAACAGGATTGCATACAATGTTTTGAGCAAATGGAAACGATGGCGAACACAAATAGTTATAATCTGAATTGCATGCGCTTGTACGAGTTTATGGTTAAAGTTACATTATTTGTTCTTATTTACATCAAGTTACATAACGTCTTGATTTTTAAAAAAATTGCAGCTAAGATGAAGGTGTATATATATAAAGGGTGTTCCAATAACTTGTACTGATTTTAAATGTGAATTAAGTTTAAGCGTCTAATGTTTTTTTCTTTTTCTTTTCGATTTGGCGGATATTTGGGCGATATTATCTTTCACACACGATTGCTATGACTTAAATAGCATGACCCAATAGAGAAATCAATATATTTTCACCAATAACACTGATTTATTTACTGCTGACTTTGACCCTTATATATAATCCATCTTAATGAAACACCCCTTTTATATATATATATATATATATATATATGGCAAAAATGTATGACAAAGTGGAAAATTTTTCGTGTGACGCGTTTCGTCCTTTAGGATTTCATCGGACTAAATTTGTTATGTTGTTGCCACTACACATGTGCACTAACGAGGGACGCTGGAAATTTAAAATTAAATTTTTTTCTAGCCGATTTAATTTAGACTCTTTTTTTCTTCTTTTTATTTCCATCACTTTTTTAATTCCCACACTGTGATAATAGAAGTTCTGCCAGGAATTATGAAATCTATATATATGGTAATATTATCAGTTTCCTTATATGGAAACATTCAGAATTTATTAACTGAGCTTCTAATGCTACTGTCGGTTGAAATTTACATTAAAATATTTTTTTTCAAGTAAATAGGTTTTTCGTTTCTACTGTTATCGCTCTTTCTAGTATTGATGGAGGTTTCCTTCCTAACCTTTTGTTTGAAGTGGCGTGGAACGTCAACGTCGTGATTATTTTATTATTTTCTCTTTGATTTATATATGACACCCATTTTATCTGTTGCAGCTGTTGAAATTACTCGTGTAATGTGGTTTCTGTTATTTGGTACAGTTCTTTGTTTGTGATTCTGTAACACCAGTGCACAAGATTCGAAGGATTCATTCACTCGAAACTATTTTTAGCCGTTGATCTGAGAAAGCGGTTACATGCAGCTGACACTTTAGACATCTCTGAGCCAATTTGGCACCATGCGTGACATCCAAATGAGAGTCTCGATCTGACAAGTGTATTTAAGAACGTGACTCACGTTATTAGCTTAATATTTTAGTTTTGTAGCAATTTGCGGTGTTGGGTGAAACTGTCCCTAGTGCAGCCTATTCCATGTTCAATTTCCTTTTCTCCTATACTAAATTTGTTATAACTGGTCGATTTGCTGGTGTATTTGAAGTGTTTATTTTGGCATCATACATTACATCCATATGAAACTTTCAGTCTGACAAGGATATTTAAGAACATGACA